GTTAAGGAAAATGTGGATTGGGATTTAAGCACAAGGGGTGTTATTAGCTAGCTTGTCAAGAAAAAGAAAACACAGCTAATGTTTAATTAATAGGGAATTTTAGATCAAGCAAACATGTGGGGAGCAGGATTTTGTTTTTTAAAGTACTGCAATTCTTGATGTATCATTTGACAGCTTGCTGTGCTAGTTGACTTGAGTATTTGAGATTTATGGTAGATTTTCAAGACACTATTGCATAAATCTCTATCAATCTCTTTCTCTCTCTCTCACTTTTGTTTCATTTGGAAGCTCATAAAGGACAAAAATCAGGTTGTCAACTGTATATAGATTAATCAAGGTTCAAGAAAACCATGCTTTCTTTAGAAGTTACAAATTTTTGACATGGTAATTTATGAAAACATTAGCTCTTGACAGTTAACTCAATGAGATTATTACAAACTACAAGCTACAGCATGCATTTGACCAAACAGAAAAAAATAATAGAGATCTCAAGAACTCAACAAAGTGCATCAATTAAAGAACATTACCTTAACATGAAAACGCCATTAAGAAACAATGAGAAACCCAAGTAATAAAACAAGTTATATGATATCTAAAGAGAAAAGAAATTTATGTATGAGTGCTAAACATGAAGGAGAGCAAACATTAAAAACCAAGAACACATCAATAGAGCTGTAAGAGAAAGGAAAAAGAAAAATAGATTTTTACCTTATCTCAAGAAAGGAGCTTTCAGTGGAGTTGGGTAGTAAAGCAAGTAGTGCCAAAAAGGTGCAATATTTTTCATTTTGGGAGAAAAAATGGGATTGTAGTGGATGGGACATGTCAGAATATAATACTTTTAAAAGAAGGGTAGGACACCTGGAAATTTGGTATATTGAATACGTTCAGACAAAATTCAAGAATGAGAAATCATTTTTTTTAGGACAAAAACATTAAATATGGCAAGCAGTTGGAAATTGGGCTGTTCTGATGTGGGAAGGGAAATTTATGTCATCATCTCCAATTTTATGACACACATTTCAAGGAGATGGGGTTTCTCCATTAATAATGGCCTTCTGTAATGGATCATGTTAGAGAAGGAAAAGAAAATAAAATTGTCCATATTTATGTAAATAATGAAGTGTTCTTTAGGTTGGAAAATGATATGAGGCTTTTCCCAACTCGGGTTCGAGCTATTAAATCAATATACACTTGCATATAATACGTTTATACTTAACTTTCAGCATTTTATGTTTCTGTTAAACTGCTTAATCATTAAACAGTCATCTTTTTTTCACAAAAAAAATATATATTTATACTATCAAATGTCATAACCGAGCGATTGCTTAACCTTAAGTATGATCAACTTGGGTTCAGTTAGGAAATCTTTGGTTCATTGCATATTTATTGTCATGGAATAAATATATGTTTAATCAGAATGATTACACATTGTAGTATAAAAAAATCATACAAATGTAATAATAGCTATAGTTTACTCCAAAAATTTGTAGCCAACATCAAATGACTAAAAGGAACAATTATTGTATGCATTAAGAGCATCTCCAACCGATACCCAAAACTCAAAAAATGCAGTATTTTTACTCCAATGGACACTCATCCCTAAACGCAAATTGCGTTTTTTCCTTTTTTTTGGTCCGTAGAAACGCAAATTTGCGTTTATCCTGTTCACTGACGCAAATCTTTTAAAAATTGCAATCTGACCGTGATAATGGATAGGTGAGATGAGTGTATTTATTTATTTCCTTTCTTCTCTATAGATATTTATGCCACTAATTAATTTTTAATATATTATATGGATATAAAATTTAACCATGCCAAGAATTAATGTCAATAATTAATTCTTGATGCTAATTATTTCTAGTGACGCCAACCTAGCAGGTTTCTATATTATATAACATATTTACTTTTTATATATTTAGTTGTATTGATGTATTATATATTTCTATATGTTTAGCTCTATTGATGTTTTTATCTGTATGTAATGTAGTAGCTAAATTTTATTTTGTAGAACAATTATAATCATATCTATAGAATTTTGAAATTAAAATGAAATATTAGCATTAAAAAATAATAATATGGTTTAATTTGTAAAGTTGTAAAATATGTGGGTAGTATTGAAAAGTTATAAAAGTTAGAGAAAAAGAATATTTCGAGAATATTCTTTTGGGTTTGAGAATGAGTTTTTCGGTTGGAGATGAATTACTGTTTGACGAGACAGTTACTGCAAAATGAGTTTGAGAATGAGTTTTTCGGTTGGAGATGGTCTAAGGCATCTGTAGCGGCGTTAAGTACCATTTAAATTTTGAATGTCAACTTCTCGCTTAATCTAATGTGAGGAGTCGTTAAATGAAAAAGGCATATGGGACCACTCTGGCATTAATATGTTTAAATGGCGTTAAGCCAAAAATAGTGGGCCCACCCACTAAAGAAAGAAATATAGAGGATGATCAACAGTGCTAAGGAGCCAACTGTTGGCTCCTTAGCTTTACTGTATGGCTCCATAAAAATATAATAATAATAATAATAATAATTGAGGTTGTAATATTTAACTAGCAAAGTTTGAGCTTGAGAGTAGATTCGCAAATCGTTTGTCGAGTCCAATTCTATTTCCAATTGGCCAATATATCAACACAAATGAATCCATATTGAGAGATAAATATTAACAAGCCACATATTCATCGTTCTTTCCTTCAATGTCTTTGATAGAACTTAGAAGATTGAAAGATTGTAATGAATAGGCATGAAAAAAGGATTGTATTCTTGGTATTGACCTACTTTGTTGTCTAGAGATTGAACAAAGATGATAAAGAAACTAGGTAAAAACTAAAAAATTAAATTATTAGTGAGGGAAAAAATAAAGAGGAACAAGACAATAGAAAAAAAATGCATTTAAAAATTGAGAATTAGGTAAGGGGTAGGTCCATTTAAAAACTATGTGAAAAATGCATTTAAAAACGTTGTGGTGCTTCGCCTCTAGGTTGGCCGTGGCGAGTGGTCGAAGCACATTAGCTAGTGGGCGATGGGTCATGGTGGGTTTCGGTTGCTGTTCAGCGGCGATCGGGGCCAAGACTACGATGGCGACTCCCGACGATGTTTTGCGCTAGTTTGAGGTCTTCGATTTGTGTTTAGAGTGGAGTTAAATACGGGTCTCCATGTGTGGTTTTAGTTTGAGGTTTTCGATTTGTGTTCAGAGTGAAATTAAATACGGGTCTCCATGTGTGGTTTCGGTGGTGGCCACTCGGTAGGTTGTCAGTTTCTTCGGCTGTGTTCGGGTCGTGGATTAGCTTCAGTTCCGGGGTGGTTGTCTGGGTTTTGACTTAGTGGTGCTGGTTCGGAGTGCCTTGGACTGGTGGGGAAGGTCTTAGTGTATTTAGTAGTTTGTTTGTGTTTGTGTCTTGTACTCTTGTGTGTTGTTAGTTTATGTGTTTTTGTATTTTTCTCTTGTTGGGAGCGTGTATTTCTCCATTTGTGGGAGCTTTAGTTTGCGTTGGTGGGTGTGTTGTCCACTGTTCTAGTATTGGTTCTACACGACTTCTTGATCTGTCATTCCACTAGATTCAGCTCTATAGNACTAAAAATAAAAATAAACTAAAAAAAACTACTAAGCCATTTAAGGTTTTTCCAACTCTAAAATAGTCTACACACATTTTTTCAGCAAAGTTTTTAAATTAAAAATAAATTATTATTACACACTATAGACATCGAAATTTTAATATTTTATTAATTAATGTATTTTTTTATATGAAGACATAAATTCAAGATAAACAAGACATTTAACTCTATCTCCTACACCTCTCCTCAATGCTCCAAATCACACCTCATTAATAAAAAGACACCTCAAAAATCAAATCTCAAATCCAAGAGGCCTCCGAAGTACCTTCAACCAAGATAACGTTTGATCCGAGTTTGATCCTGGAAAAAGCTACAAACTCTTGAGTCAATGTTATTCAAGTCAAAATTCGTATTTCAAGAAGATTAAAGAAACAAGTCCTCTCCTAACATTTAATACGAGAATATGTCATTCGAAATTCAAGATCAAGCCTGAAAGAGATTCAATCATCAAATTCGTTTTTTAAAATCTCAAACTCTATGAAGAGAAGAATCAGATGAGATAAATAGAAATTGCATCCACAAAATCGTTTGACCAAATAAAATGAAATTGTACAAAAATTTTATGATTTTTATAAAATTTGTTGCAACACACTTTTCCATAAAATTTAATTAGGCATGAGCAATTGAGCATAGAATTGAGTTGGTCGAATATTCGAAATAGTCCATTTCAGCTTAAAGCAAAATCCGTGGACTGTGATATGCTGTTCCGCTTGTTGATAAGCCTTTGACCCCTTTTGACCATTAAGACAAAAAACCTCATTTTTCTAGAGTAAGCTAGAGAGAGACAGATCTGCGGGCTTTGGTCTGGTAAGTCTACTGAACTTCCACCCAAGATTCAACTTTTCTTTAGATTCATATTATGTTTTCAGCAAAATTTTATGTGGGCAGCTTGTTTCGAGCTTCATTTTCTGGTGTCTCTGTTAAATCATGATCCGTTGAGAAGGGTTATAACCTATTGTGTACCATGTATCTGGGTTTATTAGATTCTTGAATAATAGTAATTAAGATCCAAATTCCAATTATGTGTATAGTTGTGCTTTTATGAGTCCATAGAAGCATTCTGCTGTGGGAACTTGTAAGGTTCTTCATCCGTACGGCTTTGAGATTTGTCGACGTGGTGTGTAATTATGATTTGAAGGCAAAAGGAGCTTTTTTTTTTTATTATTATTTTTCGTATTTCTTGAAAACAGAAAAGGGAATTTGGTTGCTTTTGTTGAAATTTTGCACTTAAAATCCGGTTAAGTGTTATGACTTCTGCTTTTTAAAAAAAATTATGGGTTTGATATTTACACAAAATTTGCTGTGAGGAGGCACAATGGTTAAGAGGGTCGATCTGTTGTACTTTTGAACAAAAATGCATATACATATCTTGTGAAATGTTGTGTATATTGTTCCTTAAAGTATGAATTTTAGCATGAAAGTGTAGACTTTTGAATTTCTGCTATGTGCTCTCTAAATAAATTATTTATTAGGATCAATATTTGAAATGGTATTACTTGATGACTTAGATTGAATTTCTTGTTACAACAATGTTCTCTAAGAATAAATCGATCAGAATGTAACATGAGAATCTAAAACCAAACTAATTCATGTAAAATTAAGTCTAGAAAAATACAATTACATGTAAGTCGAAGGATTTCAAACTGTGGATTTAATTCCAGAATAATAAATCTCTACTATTCATTTTGATTCTATACTCATTTAAAGCCAGAGAAAAGGAATCTGGAGTGTTCTTGCAGAAAGATACTTTATATGTTCCTTTCTATATATCACTTGTTTGAAATCTAAATGCATCTGTTCTTGAATGCTCGGTCATTTCATGGAGGGTTTCAGAAAGAAAAGGAAAACAGGAGGACAAAAAAAATATGGCGAATATAGACATGGAAGGTATCATGAAGGAGGCGCCATCCTCCGGGCGCATCCCCAAGACAAAGATCGTGTGCACCCTCGGACCCGCTTCCCGATCAGTCCCAATGCTCGAGAAGCTCCTCCGTGCCGGAATGAACGTTGCTCGGTTCAACTTCTCACACGGGTCCCACGAATATCATCAAGAGACCCTCGACAATTTAAAGATTGCAATGCACAACACTCAAATCCTATGTGCCGTCATGCTCGACACAAAGGTCGGTCGGTAGGTTGGTTTTTCCTATTTTGGAATATTTCAAAATTTGCATATTTTTAAAGAAGACTGAATTTTTGCCGTTTTGTCGTTTAAATTTTTACAGGGGCCCGAGATACGAACCGGTTTCTTGAAAGATGGGAAACCCGTTCAGCTCAAGGAAGGCCATGAAATCACTGTGACCACCGATTACACTATAAAGGGTGATGAGCAAATGATTTCGATGAGTTACAAGAAGTTGCCGGTGGACTTGAAACCGGGGAATACAATTCTCTGTGCAGATGGTACAATCACGCTTAATGTTCTCTCGTGCGATCCGGCTGGTGGGACTGTGAGGTGTCGTTGCCAGAATACGGCTATGTTGGGTGAGAGGAAAAATGTTAACTTGCCGGGTGTTGTGGTGGACCTCCCGACACTTACGGATAAGGACAAAGAGGATATTTTGGAGTGGGGTGTGCCGAATAATATCGACATGATTGCTCTATCGTTCGTGCGTAAAGGGTCTGATTTGGTGAATGTGAGGAAGGTTCTCGGTCCGCATGCCAAGCGTATACAGTTAATGTCAAAGGTGTGTTTGTAGTACTTGGTTTGGTTTGGTTTAAGTGAGTTTAATCACTTAAAACTCAGTTTCTAAATAGAAAAATCAAATCTTTGATACTAAAATCTGATCTTAAATTTCACTAGTTACTAATCACTCACACTCTGCATGTTTCTGACAGTGCTAATTATATCCATCATCGTTTAAATTAACTTTCATCATTTACATTTTCATCTCATATCCATTCACATATCGAATTTTCATCATTCTTGTTTCAAAATTCTTTTAAATCATTAACGTCTTAATCGAAAATACTCCCCGGACAAGAATACATTCCATCACATTCACACCCCTCAGTTGTCATTTTCCAACAATCCTGGATTTGGACCTCCGCAAACTTAGGGGGATGTATTCAAGTGAATCGGGATTTATAAAGACTTTTAGAAACTTTTTAAGATTGCAGAAATCATGGGGTATTTAATTTAGACTTCTCAAGACTTTTACAAGTCTTGAGTTACTCATTTGGGATTTTTAAAAAGTGTTACAAAATCCTGAGGTATTTAACTTATTTAAAGCTAGGATTTGTTAGGACCTCTTAAGATTTGCTGGGATTTCTGAAGAAAAAAATGTATACATATATCACCTTCAGACTAAGATTTCACAGGATTCTTCCAAAATTTGAAAATCTTAAAAAATCTCAATTTTCAAAAAGTCTCTAAATGTCACTCGAAAATTGCATTTGCCATCATATGCTCTTAAACCGATACAATTTTCAAAACATTTTCCGTTTTCTTTTTCTTTTTCCCCCTCCCTCAAAAGGTGGAGAACCAAGAAGGCGTGATCAACTTCGACGACATCCTCCGCGAGACCGACTCGTTCATGGTGGCCCGCGGCGACCTCGGCATGGAAATCCCGGTCGAGAAAATCTTCCTCGCTCAAAAAATGATGATCTACAAATGCAACCTCGCCGGAAAACCCGTCGTCACCGCCACACAGATGCTCGAGTCGATGATCAAATCTCCCCGGCCCACTCGCGCCGAGGCCACCGACGTCGCCAACGCCGTCCTCGACGGCACCGATTGCGTCATGCTCAGCGGCGAGAGCGCTGCCGGAGCTTTCCCGGAGCTCGCCGTCCGAACAATGGCCCGCATTTGTGTCGAGGCCGAGTCATCTCTCGACTACTCGGCCATTTTCAAGTCCATGATCCGATCCACACCGCTCCCCATGAGCCCGCTCGAGTCTTTAGCTTCGTCGGCAGTTCGGGCTGCAAACAAGGCCCAAGCCCGACTAATCGTTGTGATGACTCGAGGTGGGACCACGGCTAGGCTCGTCGCGAAGTACAGGCCTGCGGTGCCTGTGCTGTCTGTGGTTGTACCTTTGCTCACGAATGATTTGTTTGATTGGTCGGTTAGTGACGAGGGGCCCGCGAGGCAGAGCTTGGTTTACAGGGGATTGATTCCGGTGCTGGCGGAGGGGTCGGCTAAGGCTACGGATGCGGAGTCGACTGAGGTGATATTGGGAGGGGCGTTGAGGTATGCGGCGGGTCGAGGGCTGTGCGTGGCTGGGGATGCTGTGGTGGCGCTGCACAGGATCGGGGGCTCGTCTGTTATCAAGATATGTACCGTCAAGTAGTGGAAGAGATGGGGATATGGTGATTACCCGGTTTGTCGGTTTTCATCGGTTTACGATGTGGTTAATGTAATAATGTGTGCGGTTTTCTTCCTGAATGGTTTACGATGTGGTTAATGTAATAATGTGTGCGATTTTCTTCCGGTTGGGGAGTTGCGCGCGTGCGTACGATTATTGTGTTCGAGTTTTTTTTTTATGCTATGGAATGAATCTCCTTAGTTTATTTTGTGAAATGAGGACTAAAACTTTGTGTAATTGTGTTGTTTGCCTCAAGTTTTGCTTTCATGAACGGACTGTATTTGATTGAGTGTGGATTTTGAGTTTTTATCTTTTTTTCAAGATTTGTCTGGACAAATTTCTTGTTTGCAAAAATGCAACCTTTTTATGTTCATAAAAAAATGTTGGTCTATTATACACCAAGAAAACATGATACAATCAGCGAGCTTCTTGTATTTATGAGTGTGCTGAGTTTGGCTAGTGTTCAAATCTGTTTAGATTAATAGAGAATTGTAACGCCGAAAGTTACACANAAAAAAAAAAAAAAAAAAAAAAAAAAAGAAGAAGAGAGAAATGCTGTCCATCTGTTTATTGATCATCGAATGATTGACAGAGTATAGCGGGCCGACTTGTCTAACTGTTAGGCCACCAGAGTATAACGGGCCGACTTGTCTAACTTTTAGGCCGCCTCACATATGAACAAGTGTTTTGTATTGCCTGTTATGCTTACATGATCTCTTCATGACTTCATATATCCAATCTAATGAACTTTAGAAATGCGGTTCGAAAGTCGAATCCTCTACATGAGTGATTTTCAGAGAAGACCATCTTCAAGAATCAAACCCAAATTTATTTGATCTCAATATCTGTCCAAAACCATTCGGAAACAACACAAAATTTTCCAGTACAAGAGCAGCCAGCCAGGCCAAACAATATATTCAGAACGTCATAAATAGGAATAAAATACAAGAGCACAAAGCCACCAAATATGCAACCTCACCCAATTAAGGGTAGATCTAAATATTCTAGGTATTCGCAAGAATTCAGCACTGTAATAATGCAAGTATACTGAGATAGATGTTCTAGTATCTTATCCAACCGATATTTTCCAAAAAAAAAAAAGATGATCTAATTGGGTGACAATTCAAAACTTGCAGTCGTTTTAAATCAACATGCACCAACCTGATTTGCCTGTGCATGCTCGAGCTTCGGCAGCAGTTCACAAACCACTTTCTGCAAGGACGCGCGCTTGAGCCGGTTATTGAATCCATTTACGGAAGCTTTTGTGAGTACCATAGTTTCCAGATCATCCAAATGTTCTTTAAGCAAATTCTCCCAAAAATTTTCGTCCTCATTGAGATTCGATCTTCTCAAAAGCTCCTTAACCTGGTTCAGATGCGCGACATTCCTACCAGCACCACAACCCATAGCAGTTGCTGCCCCCACAGCATTTGCAATAGTTAGTGTGTACACAAGTGGCAATTTGTGTATGAACCCAAATGCAATAGCCGCCACAAAACTGTCCCCACATCCAACAGTGTCCATGACATTCACCTGTTTAGATGTAAAATATTGAATAACGAACAGCTTAGTCAAACAATGGTGTTATATATGAAGTGAATGGCATATGTAGAGCATATAAAGTGAAAATTACTACCTTAAACCCAGGGGCACAAGATATACTAGAAGGGGTGATCAGAATAGAGCCTTTTGGGCCCATTTTAATGATCACCCACTTTGTGCGAATTCCTTTCCTGAGCAACTCTTGGCCCGCTAATATCGGGTCCTCTGTTCGAGTTAACGATTCAGCCTGTCAGCATAATTCGTATCAACACAATCACTGGTCCGTGAAAAATAGAAAGAAAATTCAGAAGCAATACAACATATGAAAAGTCTTCCCATCTCCACAAAGAATCCACAACAATTTTTTTTTTTTAATTATTATTTTTTTCTTGGACTGCATTATGTTCGATAGAACTCAAGAAAGCTTAGAAACTAAAGATTAGAATAACAAGAACTGGGATTCCCAGCCATGGTACAGATATTTAATCATTAATATATGTAACGCAAAAATTGGTAGATTATCTTGGACTGGAAGACATAAGAAACAGATCAATGACCTAATCCCTCACCTTGCACGATTTAAAATACAGCATGATGTGCAAGACACTGAACTTGAAAGATATTAACTCTTTCACACAATAAAAGGTAGCATAAGGATTAGATTGCATTTTAACTTAAAAGAAGCTCAAAATGTCATCTTTAAAGATAGGCCAAACCAAGATACCTTGGACCATAACAGTACTCAGCAACTTCAAGAAGATAACTAGTACCAACTCAGTAGGCATATTTGAGAAAGCATGTGTAGTTAGTTATATTAGATGCTGATTCACACCTCTTCAGAAGTCAAAAGAAGAACATCGCTCATCCTCAGGAACTTGTCGAGGGCTTTTCGTTCTTCAGGTGTTCCATTAATCAGCGACTTCCCTCGTGGCCCAGGATCGAAAAAGACAGACGTCCCCACTTCAACAGCATAATCCAAAACAGACATGAGCAATTTAGGTGACAGCTCATCAAATCCATAACCGTTGCAGAAAATGATTTTTGACCTTCTTATAGCCATCTTGGCCTCAATGGAAAGTGAGTTCATCCAACTAAATGCAGGCTCTTCACTGAAATCTGAACGGCTGATAAAAAGAAGGGATTACAACCTTTTCATACTACATGCTCCTATGTTTCTAAGAAGAGCACATTAAAGGAAATGGATCGACATTTTAAAACTGTTTGTAATACCTACAAAAGCCATGCCTTTGCAGAGGGTCCACCAAAACCCAGCACAGAAGGGTTTCGTATGAAGTGGATAAAGTCTCGATTACATCGCTTTGCAGCTTATGCTCATCCATTTCAACCATTCCAATTCCTTCATCATTAAGCACATCTAAGAGAAAACGGCCATAGATTTCGGAACCAACATGGCCAATCGAGACAACCCGAAGTCCCAATCTAGCTGCAGCTATGGCCATATTGCTATTACCGCCAGCTTCCCAGAATTCCTATCATTAACGCTAAGTTATCAATAACCATAAAACCAATATGTAATTTCAGTATGTAGAAGTTAGATACAAAAACTTCTAAAGAGGTGACCGAATATCGGACAAGAAAAGATAATGGGGGGCAGGGGTGTTTGCAACAATTCTGTAAAATTTAATGGAGATTCCAATTAACAATTTCACCAAAGGTAGGCCCATATCTCTCTATAATTCATACATAAAACAATAACTAAAACCAGGACTCGGACAACTCAAAAACAGAAGCAAAACCAGAAAGAGTTGCACAATAATAAATTTAATTCAAATCACCCAAGAAAATAGATAGCATTGTACTACCTTATCCGGAGGCGACTTGGACAATTCTTCCATGTATGACTTGCGCTCATCCAAGGACTTCGGGGGCAGTTTCGGGACGCTGAGCACAATATCAACGCAGAGGTTCCCGATTGTAGCCACGTCAACATCCTTAACTCCGGCTGACGTACTCCGGTCATCAACCACCGACCCACGGCTGAAGCTCGGCGAATTAAGGTGCTGCTTGGCGGCAGGGATCTCGGTCCCTCTACATTTCAAGACCCAATTGTGACAGAAATCCATCCTCGCCACCGAAGGAGATGATCTAGGGCTTTGGTGGGTTTTAGCTGAGGAGGAAGAAAAGAGGGCATAATTGGATTTTAGGGATAAGGCGACCTGATTATGCATTCAGGAAAAATGGGTTTCGAGTGAGTAATCGAAAAAAAAGAACTTCAATTTGTAGCGGCGGTAAACGGCGGACAGAGAGAGAAGAATATCAGAACAGGAGAGAGAAAGCGGTGGAGGACAACGAAAGCAGTTTTCAGTTTTCCATGGAAGGTTAGATGGAGAGGATGCAGTGTGTTTTGGAGGATAAAGTGTAAGAGCATCTGCAATCTCCAATGCATAAATGTTAGTTATTACATAAAATTTGACAAATGTCAATTAATTAGATGGATTGTGAACCACATAAGATAACTGTTAAGTTCACAACTTTAATTCTAAAAAATTATCTCCAATGCACAATATAATCAAACACAATATTGTCCATTCTAAAAATTTATAAATATGAAAGAAAAGGAATTAACTAATTAGATATTTTAAAAATGATAATAATATTTATCTCTCTTCTCTCTATTGGTTCACTAGAATGTGAATGAGAATGTGGATGAATCACATTCTTCTCTACATTGTAGACATTAATTATGTCCACTACATCACTACATTTATTATAACATTGTGCATTGGAGGATTAAAAGTAGATAAATGGCTAAATATGTTAATAAAGAGTGTAATTTACTACAACTACATTTAAGCATTGGAGATGCTCTAAGACCATCTCCAGCCCTTATCTCTACTCTAGCGCGGACTTTACTCTACTATAGAGTAGAGTTGAACATTCATTCCAAGCCCTTATCTCTACATTTTACTCTACATTAAATATATTATTTTTTATTCATTTTTTATTTCAAATAAATTGGTATATATGTATATTTAATCTTATATAAAATGTTAATTACTCAAATAATAAAAATATATTTTATTTATTTTTATTTCGAATAATTTGCTATATATATAATTGTAATAAATTGAATTTCTTAAAAAAGATACATATACATCTATGTACCGATTGAATCAAAACTGTTACTTTTGAAAATATATAAATTAGTGCAAATTTACACACTAGACCATATATGAATTAGTGCAAATTTACACACTAGACCATATATGGTTTAGACGATATATGAATTAGTGCAAATTTACACACTAGACCATATATGGTTTAGACCATATCTTGTGCAAATTTTATTATGTATTTTTATTTCAAATAAATTTTAATATATGTATATTTCATCTTATATTCATTTTTGGTGGTATTTTAATATTAAAAAATTACAAAATAAAATTAATATACATCAATTTTAATAGTAAAAAAATGCAAAATAAAATTATAATACATCAATAAATAAAAAGCACAAAATTATTTAGCATAAAAAATATATTTACTAATACACATTATACAAAAATTTACCAATAATAATACACAAAAAAAAAACAAAAAAAAAAGAATAAAATTATAGCGATAAAGCTACAGTGTTGCGCCACATCTGGCGCAACACTGTTCCCTACTTTCATCTGGCGCAGAAGTGTGGCGCAGCATTGGAGGAAAAATAATCGCTACTCCAGCGCAAAATCTTACATCCAGCGCAGCGCTGGAGTTACTCTAAGTGGGAATACACTGCACAATTGTTAATCACGTACTTTATTAACAAATTTCCCTTTTAAACCATCTTTATTCCCAACTCAATCTAACTATTAATTGTTTTAAAAAAGGTGACTATTATTCATTTTTTCTTTTGTTTAAGGGCTATATAGGGGCATTACCACTATTATTTAACTACAAAATTGACCGCGCGTCGCGACACGGTCAAAATATAATATTTATTTTCCTTAACCGACTTCTACCAACTAGCAGTAGTAGTGAGCAAGGGTCGAACCCACAGGGAGTGTGGAATTTAATTGTAATTATTCTCTTTAATTGAAATCATGGAAATACTAATAAAAGGGGGGGTTTTGATATAAATTAATTAACTACTAGAAATATGAATAATATAATGAAATCAAATGCATCAAATAAAAATGATTATCAAATAGATGGGGAAATATCTAGTCCACGGTTCCGTCTACACCCTCGATTGACTCGTCTAATCAATTTTAGAATCAGATTTCGCTATCTCATGGAATTACTAGCCCTAGGTAACGACACGGTCTGTTACCCGAATTTTTCCTTATTTTTAATTTAACCGCGAGACGCTCGACGATTAAACCTGACTTTTTGTACAGTCCAGAAAAACGTTTTCAAGATTTAATACAATTAGTCGCTTTACGATTTAGAAAAATAGGCTAGACTAATTAGTGAACTCAACCGCGTTCGTTCACTTAATTAGGCCGTGTTATCCCCGGTAGTTACCATCTTCCGGTTACCTCTTATGAATTAAACACAACAACAATTACGGATTGCAGGCCTAATTCAGATGTAGATATGAAAAGCCTAATCTAGGTGATCAATCTAAACTAGACTAACACATCATGGTTAATTATTCAAAATAACACAAGCAATTCCAAAAAGATATTGAATTCATCAACCAAATAATCAATCAAAACATAGTCATTCGTAGGGTTCGACTTCCCCGGGACTAGAATAAAAGACTACTCACTCATAGTGTTCAAAAACATAATCATAGAATTAATTACACAAGAAAGGAAAAAGAAAAGAAATTAAGAATTCTTCTCTAATTCTCCAAAGGTTTTTGTTGCTGTTCTGCTTGCGATCCTCTTCTCTTTGTTTGTCCCACAGCCGCAAGAAAGTCTCCAGGTCAAAGTGATCTCCCCGTCAAAAGAATGAATAATCCCCCTTTTCCAAATCAAAACAATTTGATATATATCCTCCTCTCTCTATATCTCACGTCTCTACCCTTTAATTAAATCCTGGTCAACATGGTCTTCCCAACTTAGGCCCACTTCAACTCTAATGCTCGCAGCCCAATTGGATAAATTTTCCTGCCGTATACGTAAATTGCATGGGCTTCTCCATGTGTATGGGCCCGCTGGGTCAGTACGGGGGTAGCTGGGTCAGTACGGGACGACCCCGTACTCGCTGATAACACCACTTCGTCCTTCTTCCGAACATCCACACCTCTTTGTGCAACAAAAATAGCTCCAAAAGTACTGAAAATCACTCAAAAATTCATCAAGGCACGAGAGTTGATAATAATATCAAATAAGTCGAAAGATGCATAAATATGGAGAATTAAACGTGCACAAATGCAACAATAGGCCATTAATATAAGCACGATTTCCGACGAATCAAAAATCAATATCTCACTCTATTCTCCACTCAATCAAATTTATTAAAAAAAATCATTTTATCCAATAAATTCAATCAAAACCAAATATTTTATATCCAATAACCTCCATAGTAGTTTGAGTTTGAGATCAATTAGGACCATTCTCTTATATACCTTACAATAGGTATTCTCACATATCACCATTAGATTTACCAGAATTTCAAATTCAAATGCACATTAGTTTGAGTTTTAGAACAATCAACGTAGGACCTTATGGGGTGAGATAAATGGCTAACAATAACTAGAACTTTCAATCTCAACCATACATTGAATGTACGAGTAAAAAAAGTATTTTGATGTTTCGTACATAGTCAGTACACCCATAACAACTTGGTGGACCAGTGGCAGTGCTTAGCTAGCTCGGTTCAATTGGCCCAGGATAGCTTCTAGCTCGATAGTTTTGACCGTCAAGGAGTTCGGTATGACAACTTGAGGTACGGTTCGACTATGTGCTAGCAAGTTGGGCTTATCCATGATCTCGGTCAAAGGACGGATTGTCATAGCATGTAGGTCGTGTAACAGTGATTGTATAAGCGACCAATAAGGAGTATGATGGCAGAGTCAGAAGCGTGTCATACTAGAAAACGAGATACAGAGAGATCTATTTCCTAGTAATGAGGTTACGTCGGTAAGAAAAAAAATCTCTTTATAAGATAAGGTTATCAGGTTCATTTACAACTTAACGTAATGTACTTTACATTCGAACTTTATAGAATTTACGAGTGAGATCTAACTTGAGCGTTTAAGGTTTTTCTGCCGAGACTGCTCCCAACGTATTTTGCAAATCAGTGGAACTCAAATTGAAGGACTGTTCAAGAAGTTGCTGGTCTCAAACCCAATTCGGAGCAATTTACAGAACACATATACAATACTTATAATACTTATTGTTTACTATAGCTCAAGTCTTCACATGCGTCCACACTTTACTATACAATACTTATTGTTCGCGACAAATAATGGTTAAACAATCTAACTCGATAGTAGTGTTAAACAAGATTTCACATTGGTTCTCAAGTAAAATAAATTTTATTATTGGCAAAACGATTTTAATTTATAGACAATGATTCCCAGACCACGTCAAATCGCAAGACACGGTTTTGACATTTTTCTTCCTGAGGAAGTGGAAATAACATATGAAACGTATATTTGTCACGAAATGCGCGAGTAATAGTAAGAACAACTATGAGAAGTGTAAAAAAACGCGGAAGCAAATAACCGAAGATTGATAAACTCTTCAGGGAAGCGTCCCACTTCCCCTCAGAGCTCTTTCATTGATAGATCACTCATATACATAGCTTGGACTTACAAAGATTCGAACTCCCTTCAAATCTAGCCAACACTACTTGATCCTATCAACTAATCCTCCGGCCACGTCCCGTGGACTTAAAAACCTACACTTACTCCCTAAGTGTATCTACCGTAAAATAGTTTTGATGGAACGTATAAAGAACTAAACAAAAGCAGCTTCAGTTCTAGAGTTTGTAAGAACTCGTAAACTGAACTGAATACAAATCAAATGGAACAGCAAACAAAACGAAGCTTAAAATGGCTCTTCAATTATTTCTCTATCAAAATTCACGGCCGCCATAAGCTTCTTCTAGGGTATATATATGATCTCCTTAGGGTTGGAGTCTTCTACAAGGCATAGGACTTCATCAAAATCTCCTTCCAAGATAATAGCATATCTTTGGCAAGTAGATCTTCTTTTCTCTCTCCTTGATCTCCTCTCCAAGCATGTCTCTTCTCCTTCTTTATCTCACCATACGTAATCTCCTAGCATATCAAGACGGTAATAAAATCAACATGATCTTATATAAGGAAAATAAAACAATATTACATAAGGAAATATAATATTTAAAGATCTTCCCTTTTATTCTGTGGTTCCAGGTGCTTGTTCGAACTAATCGAACTAATGCCAAAACAAAATATCTTTCAATCTCCCCCTTTGGCATCTAGTTCGAAAACATCAGACTTGAAAGTCTCCTAC